CTTCAAATAATGAACGTCTTTTCTTTCCACCATTATAGCTCTCTTTATTTTTACGTACATTGATTTTCTACCTTATCAAGTGCCTTGCTAAACACAATACTGTTCCCAACATGGCTTTCCTTCGAAACATATCTCGCACGTGGTTCCCATCTAAACATAACTCGCACGTGGTTACCTTCTAAACGTTGCTCGCACGTGGCTTCCCAACATAGCTAACTTCCTCACACACGAAGCAGAATAGCCCCAAGACAGCATACATAATTAATTGTAAATTTATATTGACATGAAAACTAGCATATCTCAGTATTGATTAAAATTTAACTGTCGTTGTGGTTTTTAGAGATTTGACATCGTGCAACTTTCTTCTTTTTATATTGCTTAAAGCTTTTTCTGATTTCTCATCGCACAGCTACTATTTGACATCGTGCAATTCACCATCGAAATACAGAAAAGTAGAACGTGGCTTCAGTGTTACTATCGCTACTAGAAGTCCTGTTCTAAACCTTATCTACTACACAACCATCTTACAATGTTGCCTTACTCGTTTGACAGAAGTTACTGTCTATAGAAAGGGGGTGTTCCTTGTATGGAGCTTTTTTTAAAGTTTTCAATTTCGGAGAAGAAATCTAGAGAAAACACTGTTGTTTGTGAACTTATATTTTCGTTGTTTTGAGGTGTCAAATGTAGATCCACGGCTAAACCAATTCCTCTTTTTACAAAACAAAATGTGACATATTTAGGATTGAGAAAATACAAAGCGTGTGATTTCCTGGCACTTACATGTCGCAACATGTCGCATGCTGTCGAGTGGTACTATAGGCCGATTTCCATTTGACATTTTTTGTGCGCGCGGGCGTAGCACCCAAATGTAAGCATACGTAATTAAAATCAAGTGGTCTCGATTTTGCGTCCGTTGTGAGCGCCAGAAAGTTAATAGGGTCTCAACTTTTTTTTGCGCTCGGCCACTTGACAACAGCACTTAGCTAAGCTTGTTCAAATTTGGGTGCTACGCCCGCGCGCACAAAAACTGTCAAATGGAAATCGGCCTTTAGTCAAGTTTGCAGTGGTACTAAGTATAACTACGACTGCTACTACTAGTTTCACTGGAAGTCAAACGCAGTGACTCTGTTCACAGAATACAGTCTTGATCACATAGTTTAACGCATTATCTGTTACTTCTTTGGTTTTTGGTTCATTTTTAAGGGCGTTAAAGAAAAGGTACGAAACAAGACTGAGTCATAATAATGAGTGGACCTCATGAAGAAACATTCTAAGGATCGTTATAATTTTCCATGGGTTCTGATAATTAGCATGGGTCCCAAGGAGTTTTAATGAGGAACAAATGTCAGTAGGAATATCTCTTCGTCTTGGCCAATGAGGTTTGTCTTAGCCAACATTAACATAAGCGACCCTCGAATTTCTTGAACATGTACAAATCGAGTTGGGTTTTAATTTTGACTCGAAATAACCAAATTAGGTACGTAGCTTTGAATCGCAAATGAAGACGTCAATGATAAAAGATAAATGACAAAGCTAGAATTTTATCAAAGTTCGATCTAAGTGATTTTCGACTAATCAGAAATCGGACACCTGTTTCCTTTTCCAGTGAATCCGGTTTCTGTGCCAATTCAAATAGAAATTACTAACATATCCTTCTTGGAAACATTGGTAATTACTTTGCGCTGAAGAAAAGCTGGCTCCTTATTGTTGTTGCGTCAACCCGGGTGGATGGCGGATCGTTGCTGTAGTGTCGAAGTCACTCAAAATCACCGTTTTAAAGATGCAAATCCCACAGCCCATATATTTCTTTTTGCTCTTTTTAAATAGAGGTTTAAATCTATCAGCGCATTGCAAATTACTTAACTTGCCATTTTCGTAAAAGACAAAACGACTTAACCCCTCCACCGGCCCAGAAACCGAATTCAAGAAAATGAAATGTCCATTGAATATTCAACTATCATGTTCCCTTTTGGTAAAATACTTGGTTCGCCTAGTAGTGAGCAGAAAAAACATGCATTTTTAAAAAAATCTGAGACTCTGAGCTTCTAGTTTCTGGGACTCAAGATATCATGAAAACACACTTTCAAGTATTGGTCTAAACCTTAATGATGCTGGTTTATAATTTTGGAAATTACTGTAAAATGGCGTTACAAGACAATAATATCTTATGGGAGATAATTACGTCATACTGCTATGCAGTTATAGAGTTTTGTCAAGGCTTTCCTGCAACAATTTGAATAAACCTATAATTAACAACCTGTCTTTTAATTTTGCTGCGAGTTAGTAACTTCCTGTATTAAAAAATATAAATTAAAAATTTCCATTTGACTTTAGAAAATTTTTGCCACACGAGTAAATTAAAAAAACAGTGTAATAACCTCACCATGGTCTTTTGTAATTGGCTCAATAGCCATCAGCTCGTGACTCTCCATATAGATCACTTACCATCGTTTATCGCTAGCCTCATATTCCGTCTTTCAGTTGTACACTTGAGTTTTGCACGATCATCTCCAAACATCAAGATTTTCAACAATGATTATGCACGGGGGGAACAACAACCTGTTCTCGATTACCGATAACTTTAATTGGCTATATAACAGCGCAGCTGTATTTAAATGCTTATATATCACCAAGTCTGTTTGAGTCTTTAAAATTTTTTTATTTCATTGACTTTAAAATGCCGCTATCTATTATCAAGTATAATTAAAGGATGCATAGATCTGCAAAAATAGCTGTATGTGCACATGTGTCTTGCAAATTATTTTGGAAGCATCTTGGGTTGTTTGCTATGTCAAGTTGAATAGAAAAGATGTTCTTTATTTGAAATGAAAGCCTATTAGCAACAGTGTGTGTCAATTATAATCCCAGTTGCAAGCAATTACGATTTTGCATATCACATTTAGCGAAAGCCCTCAACTAGTAGGTCCTACCAGTTTAATACTGTCAATTCATTCTTAATTATATCGTGGTGAATTCACTGTACGATTGTACTACATGCAGCCACAAGTATTGCATATTTAAAATTGAAATAGAAACAAGAAACAGAGTTTAAAAATTGCCCAGGTAATGCATGCATACCCATAACAGGACCTATCAGGAGGGGCATGCCCTCCTCGAAACTACAAAGCAATTGAATTTAGGAACATTGGCTGTGCTATTAGCCTGTAGAAAAACTTTTGGTACCCTCCCCCCGAATATTTATACTTGCATTAGAGTCCTTGCGTTAAATTCGTTGCGTTGGAATCTTTGCGTTAGAGTCCTTGCGTTGGAGTCCTTGCGTTGGAGTCCTTGCGTTAAAGTGCTTGCGTTAGAGTCCTTGCGTTAGAGTCCTTGCGTTATCATACTTCAATTAATAGCTTCTAATAGATGCAGAGCATCCAAGGCCAGAAGGAGGAACCGATGGGGAATCTTCAAATCTTTGCTTCTTCAATTCTGTATCGAATGTTGTTACAAGGCTAGCGCTAGTGTAAAGGAATGATTAAGTCCATTCAAGAATTTAAAGTTTCATTCGCTTAGACTCTTCAATGCCAAAGCGCTGAAATTGAAGATATGGAATGAGGGAGGAGAATGAGGCTCAGTTCGAAGCCCTTAGTACCAAAGTTGTTGTAGTTACATGCTGATGACCATGAAATTACAAATATACCGTGTCCAATGGATGTGACACTGTTTAGCGGATCATAAGCAATGTTCCAAGAGTGCGTAATGAATTTGCATCAGCCTCCTTCTGAAGAAAGTTGGTTTATCGTAGGAAAGCAAGATAAAAAGTTATGGGACATTTCCACGGAAGTTTGAGAATATGAATTTTGATAATATAACTTCTAATTAATTTTATTCTTTCTTTCACCTGATACATCCATAAAAGTTCCAAAAACATTGAACAATCAATCAAATATTATCTTCTTTTAGTAAGAATCTTTTACAATGTTCAGCTAGGGAGTAAAGTGAAAAGTTGGTAGAGTATCTTTCAGCTGATGACAGGCTATATACTTCCGTTGTTAATTTTTCATTCAAGACCGCAAATTCTCTCCCAGATGCGCGTTTTTGGGCTAGCCTTGCACCAAACTTTTGGGACGAAAAAACAAATATGTGCATCTATTCTACCTAGTTGCCCTATTAATGTTTTCACATAAGCAACCCTTTGCTGTTGGCAACGTCTCTTAAATTTTTGAAGCAACGATTCTGATCTTAGCTAAATTTTCTCTCTTTTCCATTTACCACATAAATGTTTCCACTTGTTGCATACTGAGTCACCAAACAATACCATATCATAACAATACATTACTATATAAAACCATTGAACAGAACTGCACCAGATTTAGCTATTTTTGAAGCAGTTTAGTCTCGTTTATTAGACAAAATAAGTAATTGCAGGCCTAAGATACATCCTTGCCTCACCCCTGTCTTGCATCTCAATGTCACAGTTTCCTGACGTAGTTTTGTAGTATGGCACACGATTAATGGAATTGATCATTCTATGCCTAATTAATTTTCAGAATAACCATGTCGAATGTATTCTAAAAATCTAAGTTGCTGCCGAAAGTATTGGCACACAATCGTCAGTCTACAAGACAAAATCCTGCCATCCCCCCTCCTCTTGAACAATGTTGACAAAAATATTTGTCTAAACTATCAACACTATTTGGGGGGGGGCGGAAGTAGAAGTTTTCGTGAAATGTATCGAAACACAGTGCAAATTGTTGGGTGCTCTAAGTACTTGTGGCAAACATTTAACATAGTAAAAATCTCTGAAGCTTACATTAGACAATCAATATACGCTCAAAGTACAGGAATGTATTCAGTTTGCATATCTAGTTTGCAGATCTTTCTTCACGAAACTCACTCAGAGCTTCCTCCACCAAATGTTCTTCGTCACTTAATCAAATCAACCGATTGTGCATTATGCCTTCGAATACTTTGCATATGTTTGTCCAAAACGACTTTTCTCTGTACTTCGATCTGGCTCTTCGGCAACACCTTTCAAATGTTGAGAATATCACTCCTACGCTACACAGTGTTGGTAATCAAACTGAATCAGAAGTGCTGTTAAAAGTTCTGATTAGCAAAGTGCACAGATATTTGAATTACAAAAGATACAGTGAGAGTGCTAAAATGAGTGCATCGGTATTCAGTACATGATCAAGAAATAAAGTGCAAAAAATACCAGTGCACCAGTTCCCTTATAGCTTGCTATCAATCAAAAGTATAAACCTGTTGTTGCTGTTCATTCAGGGGTTAGATCACACCCTCAAACAGGCCCTTGCAGTTCGTTAGCCACCATACATTCAGAATACCAGACTACCCTGGGCTGACACTACGCTGTTCCAGTTATATATGAAAACATCTTGTACTACGTTACAATACCGTAATGTAAATTTAAATTGATATTAACCGTAGGCTTTGCGAGGATTTGAACTGTAAGACTATAGGACGAGGCACAAGACTTCTGGTCAGTGGTTAAGTGACCTAAAAGAGCTAAAAACACTGAAGGAATCTCGATTAAAATGTAGAAAAAAAGTGTATGATTGTTTTGGGAAGCCTTTGCGAGCCTTAATCTAGTTTTTATAAACCCTACACAAGAAACATATGGATAGCGTAAGGTTGCCTTTTATGGGTTATTCATGGTCTGAATTTCGCAATCAATAAAAACCAATAAAGTTTGATAAATAACTACTTTGTTATTTCTAAAATAACTGAAAAATTCTTGAAAGATTGGAGAAAGAAAGGAAATTAGTGTTGGTATACCGTGAGGTATACAGTCTCCTGAAATAAGGCTTATGAGACTGAATCTTGAAGGTGAAGTTTTAAAAGCTTGGTTTTTCACAATCTTTATAATTTCTTTTATCTATATGAGAAATACTTTTTTTCCATCCTTTATAATGCTGCTATCAGCACTAAACATATTGAAAAGAATGTAAATCTCCCTCCATTTGTATTCTACTCGCAAAAAAACCATTTGTCATTATGATAAAGCAAATTGAATTTAAGCAGATTACATAAGTAAACTAAACAAAATTAGCACTTTATTTTAAACTTTAAAACTTTGAGCCTTCATTAAAAGTTCCGAACATCTGTTGCTACAATTTTGCCATATTCCCAGGGTCGGATTCAGAGCAAACTTGAAAGAGGGGCTATTTGTAGTGGGGGCACTGAAAAATTTCAAAAAATTAGTGACGAGAGTACGCTGTATACAACAATTTCAGATCCATTTTTGGAATAAACAACATTACTTTGAGGTAATCCTTGAAGCAAATTAACCCATCGGTCTCAGAAACTTTTTCACCTGATTCTTATTCTTCAAAACGGAAGCACAATTTCCGGAAAAGGGGCGCTAGACTAGCTTCAACTGGTCGAGGGAGGGGCAACTGCCTATAGTAGGGAGGGGCAACTGCCCCCCTTAAATCCGCTACTGTCTCCATTCGGGATAATTGTCTTCCAAAACTTCAATGTTTTCTAAAACTTGTTCCCTTTGATAAAAACTACATTTACAAGGTAATATTTTTATTGTTCATGCGATATCTGTTTTGATGAAATAAACTGTTAATGGTATTCATTAATCAAAGATATTCCGTTCCTTTTCCTCTCACACATAATAACCGTATTTTAATTACGCTGTAGTGCTCTTGTAGTGCCGTAAATTCACCCATCTGTTTTATGACGTAGTGCCATCGTATTCTTGCTGAAAATGTTCGCTTCGTCTTTTTCCTTGACATTAATTGCAAAATTTTCTGTTAGTTAAGACGATAAGACTCGTGTCTTATACCTCCCCCCATCTGAGTTATTTTACCTTTGCCATCGTTCCTGTTTTCCAAATGCTCTATTCAGAGGCAGACACCGCGCACCATTCTAAAAGTGGGTTGGGTGAAAGGGCGTGACCGAGAAGTTTTGAGGCCACACCTTTTAAAACATCGGAAAACGCCCCTTTAGAAAATGCTTGTTTCTCTCTATCTATTTTTTATAAACAGTCCAATTCAAAGAAGATGTCAATTACTATATGAGTGGTTTAACAAGATAAAACATCGAGAAAATGAACAAAAAAGGGTTCTAGTTAAGTCGAACTGCTACTACTAATGAAGTTGCATTAGAGAAAACTTTCTAAAAATTGTCTGAAGTTTAATTGCAAAAAAGTGGGGGAGGCTATAGCCCCTGCTAGCCCAATGACTGCGCGGTACCTGTTCAGAGGGACCAAATTTGATACTAGAAGATTTTGAGGTCAAAGCCTCTCTACTTTTAAGTCGACCCTTTCTAAGAAGAATCCAATGAAAAATGGTTCTAGTCTCAATTATGATATTGCAGGTCCGTATATAGTCACAGCATTTTCTAATCTAAGCAATTTTTTCGTAGGAGATTCTTCATACTTGAGATGAACATGCAACTTTGCTCGTTTTTGAAATTGAAAGTGAACAAAACAGAAAGCTTGAGAGCAGATTTTGCACTTGCAGTCAGTCCTATTCCATTCGTAATTTATTCATGACACAATCCTGTCAAGAATGGATACAAGGTAATAGCAATTTCAAAATTTTGTTTAATTTCCTTCTCTTGAAATCCTGTTTATACAATGTTAATTTCAGTTAATCTTAAGACCAAACCGATTAAAGAAGATTCAAAAGCTTTCATTAAAGGTGTTTTTGTACAACCGAACGTTTATTTTATCATGTAAAGTGCCGGCTTCTGAAATGTTGTCAACTTATTGAGCCTGAGTGATAAGACCCAGGCAACGATTTGATGATGAATAATGAAATGATGAATGATTTGAGTGCTCAAGAAATTTGTTTCTAATAATTTGAAGTAGATGATGACTTCACATCAAGTGGGATCAGGTTACCGAAAACTGCCGAAAAAACTTATTCTGCTCACAAAACTACAGAGTTTGATAGGAAAATCCCTGGAAGCATTTTCTACATAACTGTGTTAGATCTAACATACTGAGCTACAGGTTTTAGAAAAGGACCTCGTTATCAATGGATAAATGTAGCCTATGATTCAGCATTTCTTTAATAAATTACCAATTACGCCAGAATGCAGGCTTAGATTAGCCCATTGAGAAAAGCAACGTGTGAGAAATAGTAAAAAATGATTATCAGAAATCAGAAATTCGCTTCTTGGTTTTTTCATTGGAAAAAGCGAACGAAATAAAATATTTTCAATTTTTTTCGAGCTAAAATATCAGCAATTTAACATTATGGATACATGTTCTATCCACACAAATCAAAATTCGGGTTCTACTTCTAAATTCAAAGTTATTTTTCCGGAGATTTTCGTGAACATTAAATTGTTGATGAAAAAATTTACAAAAAGGCAGTGGCGGATTAAGCCAGAACTGGGCCTGATGCTATAGTTAAGAGCCTTTTATTGGATTTATTCAGTTTCAGGAAAATTCTTGTCCGTTTTCAAACGAGCCTTTTTCAGGAATGGGCCTAATCCTGCAGCACCAATAGCACCGACCTTAATCCGTCCCTGCGAAAAAGGCAACAACGGAGAACTTTTAAAGCTCTCATTATACAATAGAATAAAAAATCTAAACATTTTCAACAGTAATTTCAACAAAATGAGACAACAAACTGTTTTACATATATTTAACAAAAAGGACATCCCTTTTGGTGTCTCTTTGCAAATGTGCAAAAACAAAAATTCGTATGAAGAATTTATGATGAAAGATGCAATCTCAAATCAACAGGCAGTCTATACTGAACTGTAGTTTCATCTAAAACTGGGTTTGTTTCACATCTGCGTTTCCTTATTTCTAGCGATTTGCTTTTCCAATCAGCTCTCAACAGCCAAATTAGAATCATTGCATTAGCGGTTGCGTTTTAAAAGCTTTGCTTACTGGGTATTGCACAACCATGTTTGATTAAGGACAAAAACCTCTCAATTATTTTATTTAAATTCTATTTTGGCTAAATGATGAGCGAAGCTTAAATTCGAAAATAAAATGATTAAGAAAGCAGAATTATTCCAATTGAAGAAGATACCGAAGCTCATACAAATCACATGTCATTATCTACATTTGCATAATCTAAATACATTAGCATAAATGGGATGACATTTAAGACTGACGGATGAATTCAAAAAACGGCAGAGTGGGAACAGCTTTTGATTTTAAATCTTCAATAGACTGTATAGCTGCAGAGTTTAGGGACGGAGGTTTCAAAATCGTAGACATTTCTTTAAGCGTTTTCTTAGTTTCCGGGACAACAACGCACTGGGTTTGTGCAGAGAATAAATCGAATTGCGATTTACTGTGTCTTTTTGCTTGAATGTATGGATATGCCAAGAAACAGCTAGACTGTAGTCTTAATTTTCTACTCTGACTTTCAATAAAATTTCACAGTTTCACAGTTTCACATAAACACCTGCTTCATTAGTTTAAATGTCCCGATGAATTTTGCTGGCTATTTCAATTTCCCATTGGTTGGACTACACAATAGACCTATTGTTAAGTATCCAATCGGCAACGTAGGGCTTATTCTTAAAATTTTCTCGACGATGAACACATTGCAAAGCCTATTGTAACTCTGAACAGCTGACTGGCAGGACGTAGTGTCTTTAACCATTTAAAGTACTTTTTAGAGATACGACAAGTCTTCTGTTGCACTGAAAAAAAAGGGATTTCAGTCATCCCTCATTAACTCTCCAAAATAAGCTGTGACCGTTTTCACTTTGTTATTGAGAATGTTTTGCTCGATTTCAGTCTTGCTTGCTGGACCAGCCAATCTCATAACCTGCTCAACATCAACATTTCTTGGAAGGAAGTAGGCGATACTGTCAGTGATACATTTAGCAAGGTAAAATACTTCCTCGCCATCTGGTATGATCATTGTTTTCAGATTAAATACTTTAGCTTTAAGATAGTCCGGTCCACCCCATGGAGGTGAGAGAAAAACGACGTCAGCCTTTAGGTATGGTGCTAGCTTTAGGAAGTCGCCTACGATGAATTCAATGCGATCAGCAACACCGTATATACTAGCGTTATGTTTTGCCAATTCAATCTTCTTTGCGTCAATATCAATTGCAATGACACGCTCACATGTGAACGCTAGTTGAACAGTATTGCCCCCAGCACCGCAAAAGGCATCAATAACAACATCGCAGCGGCATCTCTCCGCAATATGCTCCGCAATCTTTTCCGGTGTCACTGAAAACCAACTTTCCTTATCGAGCTTTATGCCTTCATCAAAACGCGAAAACAGGCGATAACGCTGATTCCAGTACTTTTCAATATCAGTGCCGAATTCTTGAAGAATATCATCAGGCAGTGTTTCGAATTTACGAAGTTTTTTCGCTGAGTGAGCATTATTAGAAATGTTTTTGTTTTTTCGCTTCTTTCCGTTTTCGCGATTTTTCTGAGGATCAGGTGAAGAACCATGCATCGTTGGAATCTTGAAGAACTTCTTAATTCGGTCAATTATCGACAACTTTTTTGGTTCAGCACATTCAGAATGCTTTGCAGGTTTCTCCTCTGCATCTTCTTTCGTAACATTCGCATAATCCTTTTCCGCATATTTCAAGCCCCTACCGTCACTACAATTTTCTTGCCCATTGTCAAAACTGGCGCCTTCATTCAAACCAACGCAGTTTGCAGTAGGCCATGGATCTCCCATCTCATTCGAATTATCTAACGTGTCATTATCATCTTCAGCAAATCGTATATGACAGCCTCTTCCCGTCCTTATCCTTTTGTCATGAATCTCAACTTCAATGTTTGAAAACGTCAGATCTGTAGCTGAAAACCCTAGAGCAGCATACGCTGATCGAAAAGCCTGTTCCTTGTCACTAACTTCCTTTACTTCCGGATTTGTTGGTAGTTCATTAAACATTTCCAAGAAATGGGCAGTTCCTGTATTCAATTTCTGTTTCCCTTTCTTTTTCTTACTTTTCTTTTTCTTTGTTTTTCCTGAAGAGGGTTTCTGTACGGTGTTTTCAGGTGGTGTGGGAGTTTTGCCCCAATCAGTTCCTTTGGGTTCTGTTTTCATTACATCAATGGCACCTTCGGTAGCATTGCCTGCCAGGCACTCATTGACCGTGTGCGGAAAATCAAAACCTTGAAGCTTAACAATACCACTATTTTGCGATTCGTTCAAGCCATCAGTCTCACCCTTCATTTCTGTGCCCGCTTCCCTTCCGACCTCTTCATCATTAATGATTTTTTCACTGAACTGAACCGCATCCAGTTCGTGACCTCCTTTTATAGCTCGAGTTCTCCTAGGTTCATTATTATCTCCGTCATCAGATCCTCCATTTTCACAGCCATTAACACCAACGTGTATTCTAGAGCTTGAAGGTTTCCGATCAGTATTACTATGAGTGCTACAAGAGCTTGTCCCATTAACTTTGTTTCTCCCTGTCTCACACCCAGTAACTGATCTACCCTCTATTTGCCCATTCAAATCAACACTAGCATCTTGATTGATCAGCTTTTCACTGCCCTTCCTTGTCATATCTAAACTATAAGTTTTAACAGCAGCGTTCATGAAACCTTCCAAAACCTCTCCCTGCGATAAAGCTACTTCCATAAACCCATCTTCTATATCCAGAATACATTTTCTATTTATCAAGTCCACGGTGGCACTGAGAGATTTATACAAACATTCTGCATGGCTGCAAACATAGTTTGAACCTTCGTTACCTTCAGTTTCTCCACAGTTACAAGGCTGGCATCGACTCTCTGCGAGACAATTAGCCATTTGTTCGTCCTCCGTACTCTTCAGAAGACATTCAGCATTTTTGTCAAGAGAAAGATCAGCTGGTAGATTTTCTTCGCAGTCATTACTAATTTGTTCTTTCTCTTTATACTCAACAACAAGACTAATATTCTTGCAATTGGAATTTTGCAACCTGCCCTCTTCACAATCAGGCTTTGTACTATTACATTTATCACTACCAGAAAGCCCTTCCAAACCTCTCTTGCAGTCTTCCTCTAACTCAATGTGTCTTGCAGATCTATCCTTTTGACAATTATTATTGTACTTTTCAAGATATATATTATAGGTCTCCCAGTAATGTTCTTCCCAAAACTGTTTCCATTCACTACTCCAAGCGTCATTACTAACTCCAATGCTATTTACATTATCGACGGACTCATTTTGAGTGGCAGACAATACTCCATCGTGCTCAACATCAATGCCTTTTACAGCTGGATGTTGATTCTCATCCTGTGTGTCACAAAAGCAAGCTTGTTGATTTTCAGCTGTAGATGCAACTTTGCTATTAGAACATAAGCAGTGATCTTCACTTACTTCATCAATGTCTTGCAATTTGTCTTCTTTGTTGACAGAAGGAAATGTTTCGACTTCTTCTGACGGTGCCAAGGTGAAACAATTTTCCCCAGGGGTCGAATCATTTACTGCAGTTGAGTTGCAGACAAAACTGCTGTCTTCCCCGAAGTCACCCACAGTACATGGTATGGCAGTTAACTTTGGTGCCTCATCACCAATTGTCTTTTCACTGAATGAACAACCATTTCCACTCGCATTCACATTAGTGCTCGTATTACTCACCATGGCGCCATTACCGATATCATTTGCATAGGCAATCGGAAACTTCTTTACCCATCTTTCCCAAACAAGCTGGTTTCCATAATTCCCCCAAAACTCGGACCATTCCCTGCTGTTTGAATACGGTAAAGATTGATGATAAATGCTATCTTTTTTATATTCATCTTGTTTAACTTCATTTTGTTCAGTTTCATCTTCTTTAGTTTCATCTTGTTTAGACCCATCTTCTTTAGATTCGTCGACATTAGGTTTATCCTAAAATGAAAATATGACATTATTGGCATCGTAGCAAAGTTAAAAGTAAGACTCTTTGGTAGAAATTGGTGAAAATCCTTCAATCTCATAAAATCTCGCCATGGTGGTTTTCTTGTTCGTGTCCAAACACAGGGCATTCATGCGTTTTTAATATTTGATATCGTATTGCAGTAGCTGTCTTAAAACCAGACTTATAAAGCCATAATAAAATTGGTTGCTGTCAAATGGAGCATGATGCTGTTAAATGGCAAGTTAAACAAAATCACGTATAACTGATTAATTTGCCAATATTTTCCTTTCACACGATCTTTATACATTTTCATACTTTATATTTACTTTGGCTCACTATTCTTAAACTTCCTTCAAAGCGTTTTCATTCTATGGTGACTTATAAAAATCATATTGCGATTTTCAAACACTGGCTGCTCTTTGAAAACTCTATAAATGATTACCTTGACCGTTAAACTATGCCAGAAAATCAGGTGTTCTTTACAGAATCCTGACTGAGACATGGCATCAGATTGACAACAAACTGAGGTGTCTTTGTCTATTGTACAGGCGATGTGTGACAAAAAAGACAAAATGCTTTACAAAAATCCCTAATTTTTCATCACTACTGCCCTATCCCTAAATTCTCATCACTACTGCCGGTATTTCAGTCTAAAGGCACCCAATATCACAATATTTATATACGTATACAAAAACATAATTAGTTACCATTAGACAGGTGCTCAAATAGTCTTCTTTACAACTTTCGTAATCTATAGAAAATAAGAACCCAATTAAGAAGATCACAACAAATCCTGCAAGCAAAACCTTATGTTAAAAGGATCTGTAACAGCTGTGTGTGTTTTATAATTAAGTGAATTTAAATTAAAAAGGTGGGTCTTGTTTTCGTCTGCTTTTTTTGATTTAAATCATTAGAACCACTTCTACAGTTTTATTGGCAACATTAGTGATCAAAATTGACAACATGAGAAGTCAAATACTTCATGGCTTTTCACTGAAATTTTGGCAGGAAGAAAATCAAATTTCTTGAAAAGTAAAAATGAAATAGAATAACTTCATTGTGCGTATTTGGAAATGCTTCACCAAAAAGTCAAAATTATTCATTCTTATTATGGTTCCTCCTGTAAAGACTGCAGTATCTATTATCAGAATATTTTGTAAAGACAGTGAATAACATAGCATATAGTTCTATAAAAATATTAATATTGTATAAATAAAGAAATAGGTGAAACTTGTTTAATAATATTCTCAAGGCTTAGTGCTCGTATCTGTTAGTGGGTTAAACTAGGTGTCAATTTTGTTGCTTTTACTTTAAAAGGTTGTTTGAAACCAACTTGTTGATGGTGTGCAAACAAAATCCCTTTGTATTTTGGTACAAAAGGTCAGCCACTTTTGTGGATAGGCAGTACAGTCTACACTGAAATAAACCAGGCATTTGTAAAATTCAAATAAACCTTTTTCGATCACCATTGGACCCAAGCGAACTTGGTCAACTCCTTTACTGAGCTACGAAGCTTACCACCCATGTACTTAAATCAAGCTTGAGGCTCAAAGTTTAGGGTTTGTAATGCTTGTAATGGGAAGCTAAGGGGACTCTCACTCTAGGTGAGGCCTTTGGGAATTTTGTTCAAATAATAATCCACTAGTGCATATAATTTTTTAAAAATTAAAAATCTTTTCTTTATTCCATAATGAAACATCCTTGATTAATTCTTTTTGCTAGAATTCAGTTATTGTTATTTTTTTTATTTAAACAGTGAATTTAAACCTCCGTTATCCTGGTGATTAACCTCACTATATTGATCTTCAAAATAACCATTAGATTTCTTGGATGTCTTCTTCTTCTTTCTTTTCTTGTTGGACTTCGTTTTACTAATTTGTATAGGCAAGACATCCTCCTACGATTACAAAAACCTGATGTGGACAAGCTGTACACAAATCCAGTTCTTTGAGGTTGAGTTAGCATCAATTTAGAGATATTTTTTTCATCAAGTGTAAAGGAGATTTAAACATAAATAAACTTTGATCTTGGATTGAGGAAGGTTTTTAGTCTTCAGACATTTTTTATAAGAAAGCAGCATAGTATTTGCTAGTTGACTACTCTAAAGGTTGTTGAGTTAACTATCTTAAGTAGCTTTTTGTTCTTATAAAGTATTTACTACTTGGAGAACATTCTTGAAGATTTTACCATGCAGTTAACTACAATCCCTGCCTTGAGTCCATGTGGCTAAAATTTCTTTTGGAAAATATTAACAGTTTCCTGTTGAAAATACTATCACTGCACTTCTTTTCCCCCCAAACAGAGTTTAATTTTATAACTATCTGGCAGGATTCCAAAGGATCAGGCCGTGCAATGGAGAATATGCCATTGGCAATGTATACAAATTTACAGTAGTGCACAAAGGCTTTTGGCAGGGATAGCAACTATTTTTACCATCTATTCAACAACTTATTTGCATGCCTACAGAAAACAAAATTAGCTAATTATAAACTTTGTCATTTATTGAAGTAATTGAATAGATCAATTTACATTTTCGTAGATCAGGAATTCACTAAATGCCAACAGGTCTTACTTCTTCATAGTCTCTAGGTGAATTCAAGAAATATGTTGGTAGGCCCATTTTCCCCATGATCTTCATTTCATCTAATAATGATTGATCAAGACCCTTTTGGAATTCATGAATGGTTTTGAGTGCTTTACAGGCTTGTTCTCCTTCCTTGGAACTTTTCTTCACATCTGGCTGCATACCAGAATTGTTAACTTTGCTGTCTCTTTTACAAAACAAATCAATGTCCTTATCTCCATCAGTACCAGGTCCTCTCTTTGCAATATTTTTAGCAACACCATGACAATCAGCTAATTCCTTGACGCTTTTAAATTGACATCTACATGAAACATGTCCTTTCTTTTCCATCTGAGCCTTGACATTAAGCAGAATAAAAGAACATTAAAATGCTTTGTACAAAAAAGTACATGACTTAGTTTTGTCAATGCTCTAGCCATGTCTTTATATATATTCCAGATTACACTGTCTATTCTGTGCTAACAGTGCTCGATGTGCATTAAATAAGAGCGATTGATATAGTAGAAAATAGGCTAAAAATAAGACATGTTTTCTGTTGTTTCCAGTTTCATGCTTGCACATTAATCAGACAGACTATAATCTATGGCTAAGTCTTTATATATTGAATACTTAACTGAGATACAGCTTTCCTTCCTTATCCTTTAAAGGGTTTTGCTATCATTCAATTTGAACAAAAAATGATAAAAAAATCTCAGAGTTTATTATAGGAATACTTATGAAGCATCAAAAGTTTCAAACCTAAGTAAATACAAGCAGAGATAAACAATTTGAGGCACTTCTTCTCCAAAATATACATTATTCAATTTTAAAACAAACATACTTGATAAGAGGTCACATCAGCCTGTGAATCTATTACGAAAAACCCATCTTTGCTTGTGAACTCAAACTGATCAACATCAGCTGGTACATTTCTGTCTCTGAAAATTAAAATAAATGCATAATAAATATCAAGAAAATATGAGAATAAAATGAATTTCTTTAGCTCTAAGCATAGGCCAAACTCAAACTCTAGTTACCTCAACTGATATTCTATATTTTGATGCTCTTACAAACAAAACTCAAGACACAGATTGTCACATTGAGAGCTAATTGAAATATTTTTTCAGTGAATAGGGGGGGGGGGGGCTAAGCCGAAATATTCCTATAGAAAAACAGAAAAGATTTGGTTGTTGAGTAAAGCAGTAAGAATGTGATTTCAGGGTCTTAGAAGCCTATGGCTTGTCAGGATCTAATTCTTATATAAATACTCATAATAACTAATTACATTACTCATTATTATCAATAATTACAAAAACGTAACGAAGCATAAGCCACAGCACAATGCAGGAGATTAAATTATCAAAATTTTATGCATACACTGTATTAATAAATAACAGAAAGGCAAGCATAATCTGTTTTCATGTTTGCTCTGTCAAACCTGTCATGCACAAAAATTCTATTATCAAGGACTTATACCTCTAGCTTAACAGCTTTTTTTACTGTTCAAAAAATGCTGTTAACATGTCATGGAATTTAATCTTTCAAATAGATGTCATTCTCAGCAGTTAACTTTACAAGATAAGGGCTGTTTAGTCTTGCAATGTACTTGAAAGCAAAAGCAAACAAGCAAACCAGTGCATGACAAGATTTCAATATTTGCTCCCGTTTTAAGATAAAATGGTATTCTGGCAAGACCATTTTTCTAGGTAAGAAGCAATAAAATTTTAATAACAAGGAGTTCAACTAGTTGGATGGAAAAAGACTTTGTGTGGCAAAACCAACTAAAATCCATTGCAGGATATTTATATTAAATATGTTTTTATTTCAAAAATCTAAATGATTAAATAACATTCAACACAGCAGACTACAAAGATTTTAAGTTTATTCAGCATTTATTGCTTAAATAAATGGTGAAATAATTTAATAAAAAAAATGTCTAGAAGTTTCCACAAATGAAAACAATCAGTGATAAATTGTCAGATCTGTTGTATATTCAGGAGTGGCAAGGGTTGGGGACTGGGAACCAAATTTAAAAAAATAAATATAAAAATAGTAAAAACAGCTAGTCAATTTAAGATCTAAAATCATAATATTGTATATACAATCTATTGCCAACTTCCTTGACAATCTCTGTTGATTTTGAACGGCGAAGCACAATGTAAGTGATCATGGGCAGTACTATTAAATTGTTATTTCTCTTGACATTAAGCCTGTCCGTGTATTAAATTTACCTGTGTACATACCAGAGTGCAAAGTATTTTTGGTGCGCGGGGAGTTATTTTCTGTCGCTTACGCTTGCGCGGGAACAAATCATGTTGCAAAATGACAGGTAAAAAGCTGCGGGGTTTCATTTTTAAATAGCACTTTTAGGGCTCGAGATTAGGCTATGCGCGGAATTCACACGGAAGTCCATGTTCCAACTGCTCAGAATAATCTAAATTTGCAAAAATGCGCGGACGGGATTTGAGCAAACGCGTTCTCCGCGCATACCCAAACTTTGCAGTCTGGTGTTCATAGACGTCTGTGTATATATATTGTCCAAATGCCACAGCACTAAGAAAACACACACTTTCTACGCAGTATAAGATACTTTTGCAGTCCTTTTTACCGACATACACAGATAACGTACACACCTTAGATATGTTCTCGAGCAAATGCAAGTGACAGGCAACTCATCATCATTGTTGCTTGAGTCTCTTTCTGGATCAAATCCGAACAATCGCATGGTTGCCGTTTTTTGACATAAATACTGGATTTCAGATCCTTTCATTCTCATCAAAGTTTACATGTGTTTCACTCAATGAAGATCACGAACAACTAGTTGAGGCTAGTAATGTCATGACCACAACGTTGCCCTGTCGCATTGAGATCAGGTTCCGCTATTTAGCGTACGACATTCGATTAGACATTCAGTTAGACATTCGATTAGACATTCGGACTAAAATGGCTCGGTATAAGAAATCTGTGCTAGAGGGTTAAAAACAATGTTAATAACATTAAAGTATACCTTCGTAAGTGTATTATCGTATGCTTCGTTTTTGTTGTTACGTCTTGTAGAAGCTGAACTGAGCATCACAGTGTTGAATTTGGACTTAGGCCATGCGTTAGACATTCGCCGTCGGGAAAAAAATTATTTTTACGCAATAACTTTCTCGTTCTTAGGAAGATTTTCCCGAATGCTTGCAACGTAACTTTTCCAATCCCAGTATACATGTTAACAGGGGATTCGGTAAAATTGTGATCTTCCTTGAAAAATTTCTATTTCGTTTCCCATACTGAAGCCTTACAACTGGAAAACTGAATCCATATTTACGCAATAACTTTGTCGTTTCTGTATGAACTTTACAGAAACTTTATAAAACATCTTTAATGAACATACCCTTGACGTTAACGGATGTTTCGGGAACTTTTTACGACTTTTGAAAAAAATAATTTTTCATTTTCCATACTGAAGCCTTATAAAGTGGTCAGTTTGGGGGACGTTTACGCAATAACTTTTGTAAATCTGATTGGAATCGTCTGAAACTTCACCAAACGTCTTCATTTAACCCAAAGTTGTTGTTAACTGGGGTCTCAGCAAATAATTTCACGTTTTGAGAAAAATAATTTTTCATTTTCCATACTGAAGCCTTATAAAGTGGTCAGTTTGGGGGACGTTTACGCAATAACTTTTGTAAATCTGATTGGAATCGTCTGAAACTTCTCAAAACGTCTTCATTTAACCCAAAGTTGTTGTTAACTGGGGTCTCAGCAAATAATTTTACGTTTTGAGAAAAATAATTTTTCATTTTCCATACTGAAGCCTTATAAAGTGGTCAGTTTGGGGGACGTTTACGCAATAACTTTTGTAAATCTGATTGGAATCGTCTGAAACTTCTCAAAACGTCTTCATTTAACCCAAAGTTGTTGTTAAAGGGGGTCTCAGCAAATAATTTCACGTTTTGAGAAAAATAATTTTTCATTTTCCATACTGAAGCCTTATAAAGTGGTCAGTTTGGGTGACGTTTACGCAATAACTTTTGTAAATCTGATTGGAATCGTCTGAAACTTCTCAAAACGTCTTCATTTAACCCAAAGTTGTTGTTAAAGGGGGTCTCAGGAAATAATTTCACGTTTCTGAGAAAAATAATTTTTCATTTTCCATACTGAAGCCTTATAAAGTGGTCAGTTTGGGGGACGTTTACGCAATAACTTTTGTAAATCTGATTGGAATCGTCTGAAACTTCTCAAAACGTCTTCATTTAACCCAAAGTTGATGTTAAAGGGGGTCTCAGCAAATAATTTCACGTTTTGAGAAAAATAATTTTTCATTTTCCATACTGAAGCCTTATAAAGTGGTCTGTTTGGGGGACGTTTACGCAATAACTTTTGTAAATCTGATTGGAATCGTCTGAAACTTCTCAAAACGTCTTCATTTAACCCAAAGTTGTTGTTAAAGGGGGTCTCGGCAAATAATTTCACGTTTTGAGAAAAATAATTTTTCATTTTCCATACTGAAGCCTTATAAAGTGGTCAGTTTGGGGGACGTTTACGCAATAACTTTTGTAAATCTGATTGGAATCGTCTGAAACTTCTCAAAACATCTTCATTTAACCCAAAGTTGTTGTTAAAGGGGGTCTCAGCAAATAATTTCACGTTTTGAGAAAAATAATTTTTCATTTTCCATACTGAAGCCTTATAAAGTGGTCAGTTTGGGGGACGTTTACGCAATAACTTTTGTAAATCTGATTGGAATCGTCTGAAACTTCACCAAAGGTCTTCATTTAACCCAAAGTTGTTGTTAACTGGGGTCTCAGCAAATAATTTCACGTTTTGAGAAAAATAATTTTTCATTTTCCATACTGAAGCCTTATAAAGTGGTCAGTTTGGGGACGTTTACGCAATAACTTTTGTAAATCTGATTGGAATCGTCTGAAACTTCACCAAAGGTCTTCATTTAACCCAAAGTTGTTGTTAACTGGGGTCTCAGCAAATAATTTCACGTTTTGAGAAAAATAATTTTTCATTTTCCATACTGAAGCCTTATAAAGTGGTCAGTTTGGGGACGTTTACGCAATAACTTTTGTAAATCTGATTGGAATCGTCTGAAACTTCACCAAAGGTCTTCATTTAACCCAAAGTTGTTGTTAACTGGGGTCTCAGCAAATAATTT